GTAACTAGTATTTACTGACTCAGTAACTGGTTACACGAGCTGGTGACAAGTTACTGCCTGTAGTATCAAGTCAAATTTAAAAACAGCAGCTGTTACCAAGTGAGTCAGAACTGAGCAGCGAGTCACTAACGAGTTAATAAAAAGTCACTAACGAGCAGACGATGTTTAACGTATGTTTTTGGAACAGATTTCTGACAGTTTTATTTCAGATATTTAAAAATGCAACAAAAAAAAAAAATAATTTCAGAAAAACTATTTCTGAAACATTTGGTTTATTTTTTGTTTGTAGAAATCCTGAAAATCAAATGAAATATTTCCAAATGAGGACTTTTCTTTTAAATCGTGACCTGGAACACTTTGAATATTTTCAATTGTTTTGTTTGTTTGTTTGTTTTAAAAACAGAATAAAATTTTTTTTCCTTAAGTATTTTATGTAAAATGTTATTTGTAAAGAAACAAAACCAATTTTTAACTTCCTGTATTCAATATTTTTATTCAATTAAATTTAAGTAGTTTTTGTTTATAAAAGTTGAATTACATGAATTAAACAAGTAAAAACATTTTCCTGTTTAAAACAACTTATTATTCAAAAGTAACGATTGGACAAGATGAAGACGAGTTTTATTTTTCTCCTCAGATGACACGAAATATGAAAATTTATTCTAATTTATTAAAGCTTCTTGTTTTACTCTGAAACATTTTTAACCTTTAAAGAAAACAATTCTGTAAAAAAATAAAAATAAATATTTTTTTAAAGTGTAAACTAACGTTTCAGAAAATGTTTTTTTAGAGCAGAAGTCACAAATTTAAATGACAGTTTTTAATTAACTCAGAAGTTGTAAATATTAAAATGTAAAATAACTTTAATAGTTTTATTTCATTTTAAATGTGGAAGCTGCTGAAGAACAAAAACATTTTATTTTTAAATCGAATAAATTTATAGAAATAAGAGCACGAATTAAAAAAAAATTATATCAACGTAATTTTAAAGCTTTATTTTGAAATGCCTCATTTGGTCTTTTCAAAATAAAACATTAAAATTTGCTCAGAATATTTCATTTAACTGTGGTCAAATTTATGTTTTCTGGTTTAATAAAATAGTAAATTTAATATTTTAGTTTATTCAATTTTGGACCATTTGGGCTTCCATACTTCAGCATTACAATTCTAAAGCTGAATTTATTAGTTTTTCTAAATAAGTTTTTTTTTTTTAACCATTCTCTTTTGTCTTTTCTGTCATTCTGAAATATTTTGAAATAATGTATGAACATGATTTTTACCGTTTCCTGAGAACTCCTGTTGTAATAAATGTTTTCTTGTGATGTTTTTGTATAAATATTCTGCTTCTGAGAATAAAGTGTTTTAAAAAACATTTATTTTTTTCCTGCATTTCAGTTTTGTTTCATTTTTGCACCCTGGTGGAAAAATGTAGAAATCCTCTCTAAATATATCATAAATACAATCGTACGTTTCATAAAACATTGAAAATAATGGTTGAATCGTTTCAAAATTAACCGATCCTCTGAGTTTTTAAACATTTGACTTCATAAACGTTAATTCTGTCCTTTTTTATCAGCATAAGTTAAATATGCGGTACGTGTCCAGCGTTAAATTTATTTGCAAACTCAGCTGACACGAACATGAGTCAGCAATATTAAAATGTACCAGTCAGCTCCGATGAAGACAAGCTGAGCAGTTTTACAACTTTTGAACCGATCCAGTGCATCAAACGTTGCTTCTGATGTTGGACTGAGGAGTTCTGGACGTCTCCGCTTCCTGTCGGGCTCCAGCTGCTGGACCTTCACACTGCAGCTTCCTTAAGAGCCTGACATTTCCCTGCTGTACTTGAACGCACCACTGCTCTCAGCAGCAGTCAGACATGAAGCATGTTGTTTTTCCCACTTAAGAGAGTGTGGTTGTGTTTAAATAAAGTTAATTCAAACGTCTGTGGAGGTTCAGGACTGAGCCCGCTGCAGTTTGGGTTCTGATGGAGCCTCGATGATTTCTCCAGTCATAAACAGCTCCTGAAACAACAACAGAGTTGGGTGAGATGAGGTGGTGGACCCCCAGGACCAGAGATCATCTACCTTATCATAGATGACTCTGACGATGAGTGAGCAGCTTGGACACGTGGCCACCTCCTCTCCATTCTCAAGGTCCTCCTGAAAACAAAACACTTTTCAGGTCCTGCTCAGCAGCATTCTTCAGCCTGCAGCTCAAAGAGCTTAACTAAAAACAAACCAGGACATTAGACAATAAGGTTACTTAAAATCTGATTCAAGCAGCCGATTGTTTTTACGTAGAGTGACGTAAAAACAAATTTAAGGTGCATTTAGTAAGTAGATGGAGCAATCACAGACCTCTACAATGGTCACTACAGTTAAAATGGTCAAATACCTATGTAGAAACGATTAATATGACTCAGCCGAATTTAACAGAGGACTTAAGAGGTTGATGTAAAATATAATAATCAGCAGCTCCTTACTAATTTCTGTCTTCCTGGGCGTTTGAAGGTAAAATCAGATAGAAATAAATCGGAATTTGGCACGAGAGCTAGCTGTTAGCCGTTAGCTGTTGGTGAACTTACTTTCGTTATGAGGAATCGGTCTCCGCAGGGACACGGGAACGAATACGTTTCCGTTTCTTCGTCAAACTCGAAGTCCTCGATCTCCACTTCATCATGAAACACCGCCATGTTTCACCGTAGACACCGGGAGTCGCGGCGACGGATGATGACGTCACATCACAACCAGTGACTGTAGAATGCGCCGTTTGTTTCTCGTAACTATAAATGTGTAAAAATAATCAGCCATTCAGAATTACCTTTAAGAATAGGGGCTCATGAAGTTTATAAATAACCAAAACAGTATTTTTTTACTCTAAAACCTGCTGAGTAATGTTAGTCAATATCTTGATATTTACAGAATATGAAGTTGTAATTTCAGATTTTGACCACTAGAGGGAAGAACAAGCTCGTGTTCGGTTTATTACGTCACTTCAACAGATTTTTTTTCTTCTAAAAATAAAAATTGGACGATCAAAGATTAACTTAAAATTCAGCAGTGTAGATAAAATGTAAAGACTTGAACTCATGGACCTCATCATAAAATTAATTGTACAAATGAAATCTGTTTTAAGTTGTTTTCTAAACATCTTGTTAACAAACGATCTTTGATTTAAAGTAACGCGAGATCTTTGGAAGTATCGCGAGATGTACAGGTTACGCAGTAGTCCGTTTCTCGCAGTGTTTTTCTGTAAATAGCCACTAAAATGTCCGTTTTACTCGACTGCTGGTAAATTATTGATTGGACGGGAACATTTTTATCTGTAAGGACAGAAACATGGAGGCTGGTGAAGGTAAAACACGGATTTTATCAGCTAAAGATGCTAACGTTTAGCTAAAAGCTGCAGGATGGTAACAGTTAGTGTGTGTTTATGGTTGACAGGTGTCAGTCCTCCCACCCCCTCTGAAGAGATGAACGGAACCGGGACCTTGATGGACCTCCTGGACGAACCGTTCCCTGATGTGGGCACTTATGAGGATTTCCACACCATCGACTGGCTGAGAGAGAAGTCCAGAGACACGGACCGCCACAGGAAGGTCAGGAGGACCAGTCCCTTAAATCTGGACTGTTATTAGGATGATAAAGTTTGTTCCTTGTACATATTAATATTTTATATTTGGTAAATAAAACTGATTTAAACTGATCAGAGCAGAAGGACTGCTGAAAACAGCTAAATGACTGCTGAAATCTGCTGAGTTACTGCTGAATGACTGCTGAGTTACTGCTGAATGACTGCTGAAATATGCTGAATAACTGCTGAAATATGCCGAGTGACTGCTGAATGACTGTTGAAATCTGTTGAGTGACTGTTGAAATATGCTGAGTTACTGCTGAATGACTGCTGAAATCTGCTGAGTTACTGCTGAATGACTGCTGAAATATGCTCAATGACTGCTGAAATATGCTCAATGACTGCTGAAATATGCT